ATCTATTAAGAAAGAAGAGGGCAGTGGGAGAGGGAACAGTAAAAGAGTAGACAAGGCCAATAAGCATTGCAGTCACTATAACATGAATGGTCATGTTAAGGAAACTTGTTTTAAATTACATGGCTACTCGGATTGGTATAAGGATTTGAAAGGAGGGAAAGGGTCAGGTAGAAATGTGGCTAACATGGTGGATACTCCACTGGATATTGAGGATGACAATGAGGACAAAAAATCAAACAGAGTTCTATTGCTAATCTGGTACAACAAGAACTGATGAAATTACTGAAAGGCAAAATGACAATAGAAAGTGGAGTACATGTCAATTTTGCTCATCTCAATGATTTTGCAGGTAACACTTTTTCTTATGAATTTTCCTTGGCTTCTGCTTTTAATGCTAACTTACTATTGAAATCTAGAACCTGGATTATAGACACAGGTGCTTCAAACCACATGTGCACTGATATCAAATTGATTGAAAACCCCAAACCAGTAAAACAAATCATATATGTTTACTTACCAAATGGGATCATTCAATTTGTTAAACATATTGGAAATGTGCCTTTGAATTCCAGATTGAACTTAACAGAAGTTTTACATATTCCAACCTTCAAGTTCAACTTGCTACAAGCTTGCTAAATCAACAAATATCAAATTCATTTTTAAGCCTAACCAATGTATATTGCAGGACCAATGGACTGAAAAGATCTTGGCTGTGGGCAAGCTAGTAGGAAACCTATATATTCTAGACAAGTTTTGTTTTGATAATTTTGAAGATCATTGTAAATCAAAGGCAATTTCTATTTTGCAGACTGAAACTAAGATTCCTAAACATGATGTATTTGACAATTCTGGTTCTTTATTTGCTAATACATCATCTTGTTTACCTTTATCTCTCTGGCACAAAAGGCTTGGGCATGCATCAGTTGTTGCTTTAAAACATCTAGATCAGTGTAAGAAAACCATGAATCATCCTTTACCTGTGTGTGATATTTGCTACAAATCAAAACAACATAGACTTCCTTTTAATCTTAGCAGTATTCACACATCAACACCCTTTGATTTAATACACTTGGATTTATGGGGACCTTACAGACAACCTTCCTTATCTAGTGCACACTATGTGCTAACAATTGTAGATGATTTCAGCAGGGCAACATGGACCTATTTACTGCCAAATAAAATGCACACACTCATTGTTTTTATTAATTTTCATACTTTGATTACCACTCAATTTGAGAAAAGAATAAAATCTGTAAGGACAGACAATGGCACAAAATTTGTCAACAAAGAATTTCAAAAGGTTTTACTTGATAATGGGATTTTGCATMAAAAGAGTTGTGCATATACACCCCAACAGAATGGGATAGTAGAAAGAAAGCACAAACATTTACTTCAAGTGGCACACTCTTTGATGTTTCAATCAAAAGAGTTGTGCATATTCAAGTGGCACACTCTTTGATGGAAAACACCTTTTGAGATTTTACATAACAAGAAACCGGATTACAAACATTTAAAAGTGTTTGGATGTTTGTATTATGTAGCAAATACTTCTTCTCATAAGGATAAGTTTGAAAGAAGGAGTTTCAAATGTATTTTTATTGGCTACAGTCAAGGTCAAAAGGCTTTTCAAGCATATGATGTTGAATCACATAAAGTCTATGTTATTAGGGACATTGTCTTTCATGAATCGATATTCCCTTTTAGCAAGTCTTTAGAACACACTGATGCATTACCCCTTCCAATTGTGACAGAAACAGATGATATACTTAATACTCCTCAGCTTGATCAACCCATAGAACCAGAAATTCAACTAAATGATYTCACTCCTGAAATTTCAGAACAAAATGATATTGAGCCAATTCCACCTTCTCCTATTGCACCTGATCAAAGCCCTACCCAATCAACCTTGGTTCCTAGGCGTAGCACTAGGCCTAAACAGAAACCAATTTGGCTCAATGACTTTGTAACAAATATGGCTACTGCTAGCACATTGCCTACTGCCAGAATTTTTGATTAGTTTCAAAGGTCTCAGATATCACACGACCGTGCCCAATATTCACCTCCAACTTTTCCTTTTATTAAATCTTCTTGTTTCAATAGTGCATATTTATCCTTTTTAGCTAATGTGTCTAGCATCCAAGAGCCAAGATCATATAGGGAWGCTAGTATRAATGCAGATTGGGTTAAGGCAATGAATAGGGAATTGCAAGCTCTTGAGCAAAATCAAACTTGGGAAATAATAGAACTACCGCCAGGAAAGAAGGCTATAGGATCCAAATGGGTTTACAAAACTAAATTGAATGCTGATGGAAGTGTTGAGAGGTTTAAAACTAGGCTAGTTGCAAAGGGATATGATCAAGTGGAAGGGATTGACTATTTTGACAGTTTTTCACCAGTAGCTAAACTGGTTACTGTTAGAATTTTTCTTGCTATTGCTACAACAAAGAATTGGCCTATTCATCAGCTGGATATTAACAACGCATTCCTACATGGGCATCTTGATGAAGAAGTATATATGATGCCTCTTCAAGGATATTCTAAAGCTGCAAATGGGAATGTTTGCAAGCGTAAAAGATCTCTATATGGGTTAAAACAGGCATCAAGGCAATGGAATTCAGAGTTTTGTGCTCATTTGAAACGGTATGGTTTTGTTCAATCAACCTCTGATCACTGTTTGTTTATTCTATCTACTGGTTCTTATTTCCTAGCACTCATTGTTTATGTGGACGATGACCTTATTACTGGAACATGTGAAGATAAAATTCTTGATGTCAAAAGTTTCCTAGATGCTGCTTTTACCATCAAGGACTTGGGACATGCCAAGTATTTCCTTGGACTTGATATTGCAAGAGGAAATACTGGCACTTACATCTGTCAACAAAAATATATTTTGGATATCATAATTGACGCAGGATTACTTGGGGCAAAGACAACTTCCACTCCATTTCCTAAAGGCAAAAAATTATTTGCTGATAAAGGGACACCACTTGCTGAACCTGACAAGTATCGAAGACTAGTTGGTCGACTACTTTATTTAAGCCTCAGTAAGCCAGACATCACCTTTGCTGTATAGCAACTCAGTCAGCATGTTAATTCTCCATGTCAACCTCACTAGGATGCTGCCATTCATCTTCTTCGATACTTAAAGGGATGTCCATCAACGAGTCTTTTTTATCCACCAAATAACTCTCTTGTTGTGGAAGCATATTCAGATTCAGACTGGGCTTCTTGTCCACAGAGCAGAAGATCACTTACTGGATACTGCATCTATCTAGGTTCTACCTTAATATCGTGGAAAACAAAGAAGCAAACCACGATATCTCGATCATCAGCAGAGGCAGAGTACCGCAGCTTGGTCTCCACTGTCTGCGAATTGCTTTGGATTTCATACATTCTTGCTGATTTTTGTATTTCTCATCAGCTGCCAATCACTCTCTGGTGTGATAACCAAGCTGCCATGCATATTGCAGCAAACCTTGTCTTCCATGAACGCACCAAACATCTCAATATTGATTGTCACTTAGTCCGAGACAACTTTAAGAAGGGTTTTATCAGTCTTCAACATGTTTCAACAAAGCACCAGGTGGCTGACATCTTTACTAAAGGCCTCTCCAGTCCGCAATTTTCTTATTTTCTATCCAAGTTGGGCTTGGTTGATTTTCACCAAGTACCAACTTGAGGGGGGGATGTTATGATATGTATATTGTATATGATGTACCTTATCTTAGCCTAGCATAGCTTATAGTTAGTTAGAGAGTTAGTTTTTAGCTAATGAGCTGTCCATATTCTAGAATTATTCCCTGCATGAGCTGGCAGGTTAGTTATAACAGTTTTCTGTATATAAGAATTTATACAGCAGAAATATTCAATGAATGAGAATGAAGTTTCTTCTCATCTTCAACCTTTCTTATTTGGCTTGGTTTTAATCCAAGATTGTTCGGTAAACATGAAGGAAGTTTTGTGGAAGGCGTAAAAGAGTGAGTCGTCTACGTTTCCTTAAGTCTTGGTCAAGTGCTCTTTCCTTCTAATAATACAGTCAAGAGTCTGCGTTCCATTGTCTTCACTTGACTTGTCTGAATCCCACAGTCCCATCTTAAAACATGAAGGAAGTTTTGTGGAAGGCGTAAAAGAGTGAGTCGTCTACGTTTCCTTAAGTCTTGGTCAAGTGCTCTTTCCTTCTAATAATACAGTCAAGAGTCTTGGTCATCAGGTGGGGTTAAATGATAAGCCCGCCGTGATCTGATCATAGTGGGTTAGGTTCGGGTCAGTCTTGATAGGGTTGAGGTTGGCCCTCCCAAACCCGACCCGGTGATATAAATGAAATTTATGAATTATTATTAACCTTTGTTAAGAAGGTAATTCCCTATTATTGTTTAGGATACGGAATGGATCGGATTGATAACCCTATTCCAATTTCTAACAAATGAGTCACGTCAGGTTTGGTTTGTAGTGGCTTCATGTCGGATTCGGGTCTGAATAAATCCGTAATGAACTCAACCCAGTGTTTTCAACCCGCTGTCCACCCGAACTGCCATCCTGCCATGAGTTGTAAATCCGGGACTTGGTCAAAATGCATTGAATAATGTTAGGTAATTGAACCGTTGACTCATTTGATCTAGTGACCCATGACTCAAATGGTTGATAGGGAGTCCGGATATAGAGAAACATCTCATCTTGCTATACACGGGGAGATGTTCCAGATTCACGATTTGTAGACTTGGTCGGTTTTGAAAACATTGACTCCACCCATTTTTTCATCTGCTCTGCTGTGCCCGAGTCAGTTTTCTTTTCTGGTAAAACGTTTGTGCCTTCCCTCTTGAAGAATGAAGACCACTTTATTCTTTCATGATTTGCTTTTGGAGAAAAGTAAATTACTTCTATCTGATGGGAAGTTTGTCTTTTGGCCCGAGTGTGCCTAGAAATTTCATAGTAAGAACTAAGAACTCCATGACTGATGAGTGATGACTCTCCGTCCTCTATAAAAAGAGAGAGCAGCCATTGTATATTCTCCCAAGCTTATTTAGCTAGCCATGGTTCTTGAGAAGAAGCTGGTTGAGGAGGTCGCCTGCTGGCTCAAGCTCTACGACGATGGCTCCGTCGACCGGACGTGGAGCGGACCACCGGAGGCCAAGTTCATGGCTCAGCCTATCCAACCCCATGAGGAGTTCATTGATGGGGTTGCCGTCCGCGACCTGACTATTAACGCAGACTCTGACCTGGCCATCCGAATTTATAAGCCAGAGAAAAAAGCTGAAGACCTGGAGAAATTCCCCATCTTAGTTCATTTTCATGGTGGTGGCTTCTGCATTAGTGAGCCAGAATGGTTTATGTACTACAACATTTACACACGCCTTGTGCGCACTGCGCGAGCCGTGTGTGTCTCCGTCAAGATGAGACGCGCCCCCGAGCACAGGCTCCCGGCAGCCTGCGATGACTGTTACTCTGTCCTCCTGTGGCTTCAGGCTGTGGCTCGGGGCAAATTGTCAGAGCCGTGGCTCGAAGCTGAAGCAGACTTCAAGAGAGTCTTTTTCATAGGCGACAGCTCTGGAGGGAACCTGGTGCACGAGGTGGCTGCTCGGGCAGGAAACGAAGAGATAGAGCCACTGCAGCTTGCCGGAGGTATACCCATACACCCAGGTTTCATCCGAGCTGAGCGTAGCAGATCGGAATTGGAGAATGAATCTGACTCGCCATTCCTGACACTGGAAATGGTTGACAAATTCATGTTTTTTGCATTACCGGTTGGCAGCACAAAGGATCACCCAATTACATGCCCGATGGGGTCTGCAGCTCCGCCTCTGTCGGGGCTGAAGCTGCCGCCGTTCCTTCTTGTGGTGGCGGAGAAAGACCTGATTCGGGACACAGAGATGGAGTATTACGAGGCGATGAAGAAGGCGGGCAAGGACATAGAGTTGCTGATCAATACTGGGATGGGCCACTCTTTCTACCTCAACAAAATTGCCATCGACGCAGACCCAAACACAGCTTCGCAGACGGAGCATTTGATCACAGAGATCACCAACTTCATTAAGAGGCACTGATTGAGGGCCTGTAGCTTGTTCAAGGGTTACATGGAGAGAGTTCTGTTTCAGTTTTAGCTTTTATTAGTTTTTGTTTGTTCCAGTTATGTCCAATGTACTTCTCCCCTCCAGTCTTCTTGATCGTATAATTAAGTCGTTGATGCAAATCAAACTAGACCTGTTCATGGGATGGGTAGCCCGACGGGCCGGCCCGGCCCCCGGACGAGCTTGAGCAAGTATTTTAGCCCATGGGCTTGACCTCAGGCCTAAAAGCCCGAGCCCGACTATTTTATGGGCCGGGCTCGGGATTTGTTAAAAAAAGCTCAGCCGGCTTATATATATAAGTTAAACCCTAACCCTAAATATTAATCCCTCTCTTCTCAACCCCTCTCTTATAACTCATATCTTTTTCTTAGCCGAACAAACTCCATTCTCAGTCACAGTCTCACATAGCCAAACATTCTCAGGAAAACAAAACCGGTGCAACCAGTGAACTCTAGCGGTGATTGGTGAGTCCTCTCTCTCTCTCTCTCCTTCCTCTTCTCACTTCTCCTTCTCTCTCAGAATTGATCTTAGCAGCTCATTTATCAAATGCGAGTCTGTTATGGGCCCGAGCGTAGGATTGCGTCATGGGTCGCTCCACCGTAGGAACCTCAGATCTTTCCTTGCCCTTGGCCTTGCGTACAGGCCCTATTTTGACTACCTCGGGGGTGATTTGTCCAAGAGATCACCAAACTCTCATTCACTCTCTTTCTTGATTGAATATTCGATATCCTCATTCAATAATAGCGTCTCCTTAAATAGGAGATTACAAGAGGAGGGTTCTTTGTTGGATTCGGCTAGGTTAGTCCTAAACGGACTCAAACTCCTACTTCTAATTAAACTACTTACTTTTAATGGTACTACAATTCCTTCTAGGAATAGGGGATAAGATAAGGGAGAATGGGATAAGGGATAAGGGATAAGGCGCATTCTCTTGTCGTGTCCGGATAAGGGTGGGCCCACCCTATGAGCTGTCGTGTGGGCCCCGCTCTGCTGCTGC